CAATTGAAAGTATACAACAGTAAGCTTCACACGAGCAATTGAGAGAGAACACATCCTAAGTGAGACACAGTAGAGTGAGTGTGTATTTCTGGGAATTTAGAGCAAAGTCAGAATTTGGTGCAGAGAGTAATGAAAAGATTAATAAATGTTGGCCTTTGCGGGTAAATTGATTAACTGGAAACAGGTGATTTTACAGGGAAAGAAATTAATAAAGGTTCTTGTGGCACAGTGTAGTGTCTACCTCTTAACCAGGAAAACAAATGTTCAAGTCCTAGCTCATCTAGAGGTATGTAATAACATCTCTGAACTGGCTGATTGGAAAATATATTTTGAACAAAGTTTAACATAGGACTCTTATGGCACAGTGCTACTATGTACCACCTTGGTACCTTAGGCATCAGACCACACAATTGGCTGGATAGCTAGTTTGCAATTCAGAGTGATGCCAAAAGTGTGGCTTCAATTCTTATATTGGCTGAGGTATGGTGACCCTCAGGTTAAAATCACCAAGAGTCATCTCTAATTACAGACCAAGCCTCTGATCTACTGCGACTATGGAGACTATGTGTTTCTTAACCTTTTTAACAGGAGCTTTGGGTTCAAGTCCCATCTACTCTAGAGGCGCGCCATAACGTGTGTAAACAAATTGATTTAAAATATTTATGGGTATGTCCTTTCACCTGGCGTACATTTTGATTTACTCCCCTCCTCTCTTCCTATCTTTCCTTCGTTTTTGTTGTCACTGATGAGCACTGTGCGCAAGTTGGTAATTTAGTTAGAAACATAGGTGATTTAGTGTTGGTGGATCAAGTTTTAAAAAAGATATGGGTTATTTGGTGGTGGGGACAGAAGTTCAGTGGTGCATAAAAGCATTTTGGGATTTATATTATAAGAAGATTCATAAAAGACACCTGTGGTGCAGTACTAGTGTCCCTACCTCTGAGCCAGAAGGCCCAGGTTCAAATTTCTCATGCTCCAGAGGTACATTATAACAGGTCTGAATTAGTAATTTAAAACTATCTTTAGATTAATAAAGGGTTCTTGTGGTGCAGTGGTAATGTCCCTCCCTCTGAACCAATAGGGCCAAGTTCGGGTCCCACCCGTTCCAACCTTTAAATAGGTTGATTAGAAAATACCTGTATGATTAATAAACTATGAACAAAGGAATCTTTACTTTTGTATTACATTGCAGTCTATATCCTAAGTTATAATATGTCATATGTGATTAGACATTTTACGACTGTACCAAATAGAACTAGCACTTTCACAGAATAATATATTTGAACTCATAGGGCTCTCTGGTCAATCTCACACTTCAGAATTTTTCAATTGAACACATGTTTCTATTTGTTGTCTTACTGATTAAAGTATAAAGTCACATTAATTGAATACATCCCTCTATTTTCCTGGCCTAATTATCTTTTTCAAAGAGTACTTATTCCTTGAATAAACCTTTACATGGTATCATCACCAAATTTTGAGGTTTTGCTTGACATGCCAAAGTCAAAATCATTGCTTTATGCTGGCCTATGATTCCTCCTGGGTAAATAATGACTCAATTTTAAAATTAGAGTAATAGAGTCATACAGCATAGAAACAGGTCCTTCAGCCCAACCAGGTTCCCTGAACTGAATTAGTCTCATTTGCCTGCATTTGGTCCATATCCCTCTAACCCTTTCCTATCCATGTACATGTCCAAATGTCTTTTAAATGTTGTAATTGTACCCTCCTCTGGCAGTTTGTTCCACATACGCACTATCCTCTGTGTGAAAAACCTGCCTCTCAGGTCTTGGTAATTCTTTCCCCTCTCACCTTACACCTATGCACTCTAGTTTTGGACTCCCCTACCCTGGGGAAAAGACATTGGTTCTGCCACTCATGATTTTATAAACCTCTCTAAGGTCACCCCTTAGCTTCTTACGATTATTTTTAATTTATCACATACATTTTCTGTTCTCTATTCCTACAATTTCTTCACTGTCTGGAAGAAAGCGGTGAGGACAGAATGATTGTAGAAATTTATAATTTGATTCACAATTCAAGATAAAATGAAATAATTGTTCTAGAATTGACATTAATGTAGATAGATTTCCAATTGTTACCCAGTTTATCTTCCATGAATAGAGTTGTTCAATTGGTTACTGTTCAGTGCCATGGACACGATTGTATAATTCTAGCCCATCCCCTCACTAGCTTTATTCAACAGTTCAGGCCATCTGGCATAAAGGCATAGGGACTTATTTATCTTGGCTTTTCATCTTCAGCTTTTTAAATAAATAGATAGCATTGAAGGGAAAAGGAGAAACATATGAAAGGTAGATTGATGGGGAAGAAACTTGGCATGCATTCTGGAGTAGATGGGGGAAAGCTGGAAAACATTTTCAGGTTAAGGAGAGAGAAAGAACCAAATGACCTGGGAGGTGCAGAGGTGAATACAAATTTGAACTGATGAGGCAGGAGAAGAAGGAAAATCTGGTAGAATTGACTTAGGAAGAGAAGAGAACCAGTATGTGAACTGCAAAGGCTGGAAGAACAGAAAGAAGTGATGATTTTACAGCACATTAGATAAGATCTGATTGAGGAAATCTTTTGTCAGCCTCTCCCTCTCTCCATGAGGCCTGTTATTGATAACAATATCCTTTCCTCCAGAGGGTCTGCTCAAGCCTCCCTGATCCCTTATCATTGCTGCTGAAGGTCCCAATACGGAATGAACCTTTCATTTTCAAAACATGTATTTAAAAGCAAGCTGGACCACATATCAGTGAGAAAGAAATAAAAGGTTACACTAAAGAGGTTAGATGGAAAGGGTGGACGTGATAAAAAAAATTTCGCAGTGAGTTATTTGGGTCTAGAATGTGCTGCCTGTTACTGTGGTGAAGGGAGAGTCGAGACACTCAAAAGCACTGAATGATTATTAGATTAGAAATAACGTGCAAGGGTGTGGGGGAAAATGTAGTAAAATGAGACTAAGTCATAATGCTCATCAGAGAGCTGGTGTAAAAATGATGGGGCAAATGGTCTCACTCTGCACTGTGACAATTCTGTGGGAGGAATTAAAACATAGGAGTCATGAGGTACTGCATGCCTGGGAGTAGCAGCAACTAGGTGAGTCGGGTAATTTATTCTTTAAATGGAAGGTTGAGATTTGTCATGTTAAGGATGAATGACTGAGGACATGATTTGGTTGAATGCATCCTGCCCTGGTTTTCATAATCCATTTACATATATGATGCCAGGTGAACTGATGGAGCAAATCAAGGTAAATGGATATGATCTCATCGTCTTTATGGAGACGTGGTTACTAGGTGATCAAAGACAGCAGAGAAGGACAAGATGGCACTATTAATAAGCGATGACATAAGAACAGGTGAGAGAGATGATTTCAGCCGGGATGATGTAGAACTCATTTGCGTGGAGTTTAAGAACAGCGAGGGAAAGAAGACATTCGTAGGAGGAGTGTATAGACCCCAAACAGAAGCCATACTGTAGGATAGGGTATAAATCAACATGTAATAGGAGGATGTAAAAAGAACTGAGCAATAATTATGGCAGACTTTAATCTTCGTATTGGTTGGGTTAATCAAGTTAATGATTATGATAATTAATTCATGGAGTGCATTAGGGGTAGTTTCCTAGATCAATGTGTCATGGAGCCAACCGGGGAACAGGCTAGGTTGGATCTGGTAATGGGGCCGGTTTAATAAATTACCTCAGAGTTAAAGATCTTCTAGGAAGTAGTGACCATAACATGACAGAATGTAATATTCAGTTTGAGAGTGAGAAACTTGGGCTGGAAACAACAGTATTTAACTTAAAGAGAACAGCAATGAAATGAGGACAGAGTTAGCCAAAGTGAACTGGGTGGATAGATTAGCAGGAATGACAACAAGCAAACCGTGGCAGGCATTTAAGGAGGTAATTCATGATACTCAGCAAAAATATATCACAGTAAGGAGGAAAGATTCTAAGAAGAGATGGCTAACCAAGGAACTTAAGGAGAAAATTAAGTTTAAATAAAAGGGTATAAGGAAACAAAAGTCAGTGATAGCCCCAGGATAAATTCAGAGGCCGGCAAAAGAAGAGAAAAAGATCATTAACAGAAAGAAAATAAATGGTGAGGGCAAACTAACTAGGAATACAAAACTGACTATGATCAGATGTTTGAACAAAATATGAATTTTCAAGTATCTTAAAGGAGAAAAATTAAAAACCTAGAGAAATTTAACATAGAAACTAGGAGGAGCAGTAGGCCAATTGGCCATTCAATTCGATCAAGGTTGATCCTCTTTCTCAATGTCATACTCCTGCTTTCTCTCCATCTTCTTGATGCCTTTAATATCCAATAATGGATCAATCTTTCTTGAGAGGAAGGGATTTCCAATGCTTCAGACTAGACAGTTGAAGGCCTGCACCAAAAGCTGAACACATGGGATGTATTGTGTGCCTTTGTTTAAGATAAAAACATTTTTGTATTGTGGCAATCTGAATTGAGTGAAAGGTGTCATGAATTTTGGAGGTGACATCATATACAAGTACTTTGGAGAGGAAAAGGTGATTGGAAATGGGACAGTAATTTGAGAGGACAGTGGGTGGGTGAAGAATTGATATTATAAGAGAATGGTTATGATTGTTGATTTAAGGAAAATGGGACAGTACCTAAACAGAGAGAACTACTAACATTATCAGCCAGCATGGGTACCAGGATAACAGTCAAACAACTGCTAAGATCCATTTTCATGGCTCACCTGTGTATAAGGGATACTTGCATAATGTATCAGAGGTACTATCCAATTGACTGCAGTGTTAGTAATCAATGTCTTAAGGAATGAAAAAGAGGCAGTACATTGTCAAAGAATCTAGACATAACCCAAAATGGGGCAACAGACAAAAGCAAAATCTAAGCTACTTTTACATTAAACTCACTTTATGAATGTCACATTATGATAGGTTTCATTTATAACAAGTTTTACACTGTTCTATCACTTACATTATAAACTCACCTTTAACTGTGAAAGTTAAATTATCAAAATCATGATGATCTGGTTCATTCCATGTTTCAAAGTTCCATTTTGAGACATATGCCACACTGTATGCATCTATAAACAAACAAACTTTTTGTAGACTGTAGACTGTACATGAAGTTCTAATCTTTGCAATAGTAAAATATTATGACTAAATTTCTGACTTTTCTACTGGACTGAAAAAAATGAGGTAATGAATGTTTTCTGAATCTGCATGTTAGTTTTCTATCCTGTACAAGTATATCCATCAACATATGCAGAATTGGTTTATTTATCAGTATCCTGATTAGATCCCCTCCTCCTTATCAATCTCAAACCTCCATCAGGAGGTACTGGTATTCTGAACTGCCTCCTTGAAGTTGTCTTTCTTCAGCACCAACACATCATCCTTCTTGGGAATGTGAATGGTCAAGGCTTTGGTGGCCAGAGACAGCAGACGGACAGGCCACATATGCTGGGCTTCGGCCTCAGAATAAAGGGGAGGCATAGGCCAGAACCCTGGACAGTGCATTGGACACATGACCTCCCATGGTCTAAAAAATCATCTGTTCCCCCACAGGGAAAATAAAAGTTTAAAAAAAGTAATATTTAGAAATAACTTACTGAAACTCAATTTGAATTAAACACAAGTCATAACTGTAAATGCCATTTGCAAGTTTTGCTGGTTTTTCCTTCCAGGCTGGCAAAGGCCCAGTCCCAAAGCTGCCTGATTAGGGAGGTACAACCTGTTGCTGAGGCTAAAGCTCTTACGTTTGTGGCTTTCCAACAGTTCCAGCCTGGCTTTTGGAATATGCCCCATTCATGCCTAATCTCTGTTCCCAATCTGTTAACCATCCTCCAACTGTGTTAATATATCATTTCCAATTCCAAGAGTTCTTATTGAGCATATTAATCATTTGTATGGCATTTCATCAAATACATTTTGAAAATTCAAGTATAATACATCACTGGTTCTCTTTTATCTACATTGCCTTGAAAAAAGATCCTAAGCAATTATCAAATGTGATTTCCCTTTGTAAAGCCATGCTTTAGTAACAGATTCCAACATTCTTCTTAAAATTGTTGCCAGACTTACTAATCTATAATTTCCTGTTTCCTTTCATTTTGCTTTTACTTTTGCAAGTTTGGCATGGTGGCTTATTGGTTAGCACTGCTGCTTCACAGTGCCAGGGACCTGGGTTTGATTCCAGCCTGAGGTGACTGTCTGTGTGGAGTTTGCACATTATCCCTGTGCCTGCACGGGTTTCCTCCAGTTGGTCCGGTTTCCTCCCACAGTCAAAGATGTGCAGGCTAGGTGGATTGGCCATGGGAAATGGAGGGCTATAGGGAATAGGGTGGGATACTCTTCATAGGGTCAGTGTAGACTCGATGAGCCAAAAGGCCTGCTTCCACATTGTAGGGATTCTATTCTATGATAATCTTTTGGGATCATTCTAGGATCAGTGGAATTATGGAAATTGTAACCAGTATATCCATTATCTCCTTTAGAATCCCTGATAGATTTTATTACCTTAAAAGTTTCTACAATGCTGCTTTTCTGCTGATATAAATTACTTTAAGTTTCTCACTTTAATTGTCCCTTTGTTACTGACTATTTCCGGGATGTAATTTGGGTCACTGGGGGTCATTGAGGTGAATGGAGAGCATGAGGTGACATAGAAACTTAGTGGGGTCTGTATAGCTGAGGTCCAGAGGGCCTGCTGTTTTTATTACAATGGCTGAAGTCTGACAGCACCAAAGCAGGCCCCTTAAATGGTCAGCCTCCACATTCAGCAGTCCCCATAGCTGTCTCCAAACATTTTCCAAGGTCAGCTGGCCCAGTGACAGGCTGCATCATCAAACCCCACAATCAAAATTCCATTTTTGCAGGCAGTTTCTCCCAAGGTGGATGGGTTGAAACAGGAATTTCCTATGCTCGTGCTTCCTGCCAAAGAGGTCAACAATGGAGACAGGAATGGGGTTGCGAATGATAATAACTTGCAGTAATTTCAAATTTGCAGTGATTTTCCAAATCTGTACTGTTTTTGTATGTTTTTTTCACTGGTTGGGTTAGTGTTGGCTTTGTGTTGCATCCCCACACATTAATTCTGAGATTACGACCACCCTTACGAGTCGCAAATTTGTATTTCCTCCACCTACCTCTGAAAGTCTTGTGGGCTGGTATGGATTTTGGAAGCATTAAAAAATCTTCTAAGAGAGTTCTTGAGCACTGGGGTTTGGTTGCTGAGAAATCTGAAACATTCTGACTGGTAAGTAGTAACCAACTTCAGAGGTCATTATTAGATGGTGTGTTGTAATATATTGCAATTCACCATGGGGCTCTATTGATCATTACATTCACCAGTATTGATTAAGTGCCAAGATGTGTTACAACACATTTACTGTGGCAAAAAGAAGTGCCATATTGCATTTTAATGTTGTATAAAATGTATTGGGAAACCCTCCTATCACGTTTTAGATTGCAGTTAAATGTCCAGAGATTTACAATTTTGAAATTTTTCAAAGTTGTAAAAAATCTAAACACCCATTTCACTCCATTAATTGACATGCATTTTGCTTCAAAGTGAAGAAACAGATGGTCTGCAACTTAGAAGAAAAGGTCTATTTGATATTCAGTTTCAAAGAATTCATTGTTCCAATTCCAAATTGTTCGTTTTGATATTTAGGATTATTTAAAAAGCTACAGAACCACTTTATTTCACAAACATTCACATTTTGTTCAATAGTTTGAAGTGGTTATTAAAGGATTATTTGCCTTTGATGTGGTGAGTGAATAATTTTTTTAAGCAACATATTGATCAAATTCCATTTTAGTATGAGTTTTCTTTCTTCCTCCCCAGTCTAAAGCCTGTCTGAATGACAGCTCTATTAGATAGCTAGAACCTTTTTTTTACATAACGTTCATTTCAAAGTCACAGTTCCTAAAATCTGCATATAGTGGATTCTCTGCATCTAGCTATGTAGGGACAGGCATTAAGACTCATGGAGGGTGAGGGGCAAGATTTAGAGGGTGTAAACATTGATGCTGGAAATTGTGGTACTGTCCCTCAAAATCCAAGCAGGCCTTCTAATCAGTCAACTTCCGTACCCGTGCTCGTTCTGCACTGCATCATGGTTTGGGAAAACCCACGCCTCTGAGGCAAAAATATGGTGGTAATTTGGTTTAGAGTACAGCTCATCTTTCGGAAGTTGGGAATGAACTCAACCCTCGTTTCCTGAGTCCAAGACAAAATTCTGGGCCAAAATATTTGTACAATGTCTCTTCCGTTTCATTACACTTTATGATTCCTTTGCCTGTTCCTGCCTGTAAGGCACCAAAATTGATTTTATCTACTCTACAGTGTATTTTTATATTCTGTATCTTTGTAAAAATGCTAATGGGATATTTTTACATTCCTGGTTAGTTTACTCTCATTTTCTACATTTTTTTCCTTTTTTAAATCAATTTTGTCACCCTTTGCTGTCTTCTTAATGCTTTCAATCCTCAGGATCTTCATTGCTAATTTCTATTTTTCTAATGGAATTTATTTTTGTTGACCATTTTTTTTTCTGTAACTGTTTCTCACTGTTTATGTACTGCCATGCTTTTAGCTTATTCACCCAATCAACTTCAACCAACTCTTTCCTTACTGCTATAAATTTGGTTACATTTAATTTTCACCTTCTTGCCTGAAATTGGAGTACATTATTTTGAAATTCAATATGGAATTATCTGTATCAGAATCACTCTTTCTCAGGGTATCTTTCTCTATTACATTATTAATTAAATAAGGTTCATTTCACAATACCATATCAAAAACAACCTTATCTGGTTCCAGAACATATCATTCCAAAAATACTGCCTCGGCAGTGCTCTAAAAACTTATTTTCCAATTACTTTTTCCAATTTGATTTGTCTAATCAATATAAAGAGTTAAAGTCCTCCCAAGATTATTATAATGCTCTTGTTCCAAACTTCCTCTTGCACAATATTTTGTTCAGCACTATTGCAATTATAAGTGGCCCCATAAACAACTTCCATCACTGATTTCTGAACCTTGACATTCCTAATCTCTAACCATAATGATTGTGATGATTCATTTTGTTACTCAAGAACCTCCACCCTGATGTGATCCTTTACTCTCAGTACTGATTCCTTCTTCATTTCTATTTCGGCTATCTTTTTGAAATGTTGTATAATGGAACCATAGAAAGGTTACAGCAAAAGAGTTCATTCAGTCCTTCATGTCTGAGCTGCCCATTCTAATCTCACTTTCCAAAAACTGGTCCGCAGCCTTTTGTTCACAGCACTTCAACTGCATATCCAGATTCCTTTTAAATTTAAGAGTTCAGGTTCTCCACCTCAATCACCAGTGAATTCCAGACAGACACCACCTTCTGGATGAAAATGGTTTTCCTTAATGTCATGGAGGTCTATAGCACAGAAAAGGCACTTTGGCCCATCGAGTCTGTACTGGTCAGAAACAAACGCCTAACTATTCTAATCCCATTTTCCAACACTTGGCAAATAGCTTTGTATGCATGTCTTGGCATCGTAAGCGTACATCTAAATACTTCTTAAATGCTATCAGGATTTCTAGCTCTACAACCTTTATAAGCAGTGAGCTTCAGATTCCCAATCCCTGGGCGAAAAAAGATTTCCTCACATTCCCTCTAAACCTCTTGCTCCTTAAATATATGCCCCTAGCTCATTGATCCCTCCACCAAACAGAGCAGTTCCTGCTATCTTCCCCTCATAATTTTATACGTCTCAATCATGTCCCCCCTCAGTCTCCTCTGCTTCAAGGAAAACAACCCTAGCCTATCCAATCTGTCTTCAGAAGTAAAACTCTCCAGTCCAAACAACATCTTAGCAAAACTCCTCTGCATCCTCCCCAGTGCACTCACAGCCCCCCACAATGTGAATTTGAGAACTGTACACAATACTCTTAGCGGCGGCCTAACAAATGTTTTATATATTTCCAGCAATACCTCCCTGCTTTTTAACTCTATGCTTCAGCTAATAAGGGCAAGAATCCCAAATGCCTTCTTAATCACTTTATCAACCCATCTTGCTACTTTAAATGACTGGTGGA